AGAAAAAATGTTAGTATTTCTTTATTGCTATGACTATGATAAATCTATTATAATAATAAAAAAATATTTTTTGTACCGATTACAATCACCTTTTTCGTGAAAATGAATCGCTGAATGTGTTGCCAAGCGCAAATTTCGAGATCTACTGAACCGATTATGCTTATTCTTTTTTTATAATATTCCCTGAAGTACGACTATGGTTCTTACGGAGAGAAAAATTTAAAAATTGCCTGAAAAAGTCTAAAAACAACACTTTTCTATATTCCCGTACAAAAGATTCGTAATAATACTTAAAAGTCAATTTGAACTTTGAAATACCATACCATAAAGTTTAAGTATTAGTGGAGCGGTTCCGGGAAGGCAAAACAAGTGAGTGACTGTGGTAAAATGTCACTTGAAATGTAAACGTCTCTTTCCTGTGCATCACTACATAGTATAAAAAAGGTCGTTCCGCTGTTTGTCTGTCCCTATGTATGCTTAGATGTTTAAAACTACGCAACGGATCTTGATACGGTTTTTTTTTACTAGATAGAGTGATTCAAGTGGAAGGTTCATATGTATAATACATTGCATCCCAGCGAAGCCGGGGCGGGTAGCTAATACTAAATAAAAATGTGATCTATATTATATCTGATTTACATAATGTTGGAAGAGCTGCCACGAAGGGATTATTTTAATATATCGGACACAAACATGTAATCTACAAGAAAAAAATAATTGTTTTAGCTATTTTTGACATAAATAAATAGTTCTTTCTTCTGCCATTATTCCTCCTCATATTTTTTGAAATATTTCAAAGGATAAGTTTCACTACGACCGGCTGCCTGCCTTACGTCAACTCTCTTTGGGAGTAAATACCCAGATCCGAAAAAATATCTGGTTATATACTTGTCACGTGTGGGAATCGAACCCACTATCACCGGCGCCTAAGCCGAGAACAAAATAGCTAATTTTCTCTATCCGAACATATCTCTTTCGGTGGTCAACTATCCATTTTGTGTAGCGCGTTCTTTGCGTATGCCTCGGAATTAAAAATAATTAAAACATCAGTGAGGTAAAGTCTGTTTGTGTTGACGTCATCATGGAACAGTGGGTCACGTGGTCGCAAGTCGAACAGGGCACTGAAAATTTACAAAACATTATATTAGGATTTTATTACTTCCATCAGATTTTTATGATTCTAAAACTATATGTCGATTTAGTAAGAAAATGAATGAAATCATCAATTTCCTATCGGACTATAACATTATTAGACAGTTTTTAATGCAGGAGAACTTCTTAAAACAACTCTTTATAACATTATCCGCCAAGGCATGCGAAAATTTTTCAAGCGTATTGTTAAGTGATTAGTGCCGCACATGGACATCTACAACACTGTTGTGGATACAAGTACAACAGTACTAGTAGTTGTAGTACAATACCCGAGTGCTTGTAGATGCGTTAGCCCCTGTTAAGCGACTGAAAAACGTGGCCCTCATCTGCCTCCGGACGAAACGGACTCCTCTAGGCGCCCAGCGGTCGCTCTAGGCGGTAGCAAGGGGCGCTAAATATCAAATGCAAAAAATTATTTACTTAATAAAAAATGATGGAACTGCCCGCGTCTTTTGAAAGATGTGTGGCAATTTTAGTTTACTAGGAAACAGAATTTATTATTTAGCGACTAATTGAAAATATCTACAAATACTTATTTTATTATATTAGTAGGGGGGTTGTTAATAGTAAAGGAGGGGTGTAATAATTAGTGAATTCTAATAAATAATTAACTAATTATTACACCCCTTGTAATAAAACGGCAAAAAAAATCATGTCTGTTGTATGGGAGCCCCACTAAAATATCTTTTATTCTGTTTTTTTTTGTATTTGTTATAGTAGCAACAGAAATACATCATCCGTGAAAATTTCAACTGTCTAACTATCACGGTTTAAGAGATACAGAAACCTGGTGACAGAAGTACAGACAGCCAGCTGAGTCTTAGTAAATGGGTCCCGTTTTACTGTTTGGGTACGGAACCCTAATAACAAAAAATTTACATCTCGCAATGATAATATATTTTTATAATGTTAAAATTTGTACAAAAATGGATGAAAACGTCTCATTTCTTCCATTTTGCTACAAATCTTAACATCAAGTGCAGATAGAGCACAATAAAAACTTAATACAAAATTTATATTTTCATGACTCGTATTTAGGGTGGTTCAACAAAATGAAAGCGTAAGGATCTCTTTCGGTCACAAAGTTTAGGACCAAAGAGAAACTTCTTGTCCTTTTTGCCCATTTCTGTGACACGATTGTGTCATGAACTAGGAAGCACGTTATTAGTGATTTTATGTTTCTTGTTAGAAGACAAAAGATAGAAATCACATGGAGTTTACGTCCTATTATTAATTTCCTATGACTTTTTCCGTTTTTTATTAAATATCTTGTTATGTTTGGATGTGCTTACATTGTTTTTGTGAAGTACAGGGACATAAACTTTGATTTTATATGAATACTAGCGGACCGGACAGACGCTGTCTTGTACACACGATTTAAATTGAAAAAAAAAAAAAAGTGGTAGACAGAATTGTGACTCTAAACCATTCTCGATTCGACCTGAAGACACACAAAAAATTCATTAAAATCGGTCCAGCCGTTTAGGAGGAGTTCAGTGACGCACACGCACAAAGTACAATTATATATATAAATATATACGTCTAGATTCCTAGTGGGACACACTGCGTCAGAAAAAACAAATTTCAGATGCAGAAGAATGCATGTACTAGCATAATACCACCATTGGTACGTTTGCATACCATAGAATAAACACATAATTTAGGTTCGGAAAAAAAATTACATGTCGTTCTCTGTGTCTTGCAAAAAGTACTTACAAAAAAGAAAAGGTAAGAAAGATTTTCTTTCTAGGAAAGAAAGAAATAAAATTCTCTTAAATTCAATTTAAGGCGAGCGCATATTGCAATATTGATGGAAACCAAACGTAAGGACATTTATTCGTTCAGTACATTTTATTAAAAGCGAACGGGTCTAAAATAAGATAGGAGCTGTGCCTTTATAGGTATTATTTAATCTACCCATATTTTAAATTGAAAAAAGAACTTTTATTTTAAATCAATAAATCTTTTTATTTTATGGCATAGTGAATTTCATGTTAATATATGTGTTTTGTAACATTTTAATAGTAGTAAAAAATAATAATTTACATATGCCATTCAACCTAATGAAAACACAACTAATGAATGAATGTGAAGAAAATTTCCCCATTTAATCGTAAACTTCAAAAAACTCAATTGTTATGAATCAAACATTTAAAGAATAAGTTATTGCTAACGTTTTCGAACATTTGAATAATACGAGTTCCTTTAAAAAAATGATAGCGAATTAACACACTAACGTTCACCCTTTGCGTCAAATGCCTAACTTCAGTTCTTGTACAAAGTCACATTGTACGTTCATTTAATTCGCTGAAAATTTTCAGAAAATTTCAAGTTAATATGAAGTTATATTAAAGAAATTCCTTTTACGCCAATTTGATTGAATAGTAATTGAGAATTTTATCATTTAGCATATCAACCATCGCTTGGGGCTTGTTAGTTAATTACCCCTTGATGGCTGTTGCGTTGTAAGCCATTGTCCCTGAGCGACAAATTAATTGAATGGCTTCACGACGAATAAAAGGGCAAGGTTGTAAGATATTGACCTGACAATACTGACATCCGCATTTTCATTGTAAATGTGCAAAAACTCACGGGCAATTCCTGTTAGTTTCTGTAATAGTCAACCGGCATGGCGTTTTTTTTTTAATTTTTACTTTCGGCCTGAAATTTTCCATACTTTATTCATTTCATTAGTAACGATAAACAAAACTTACTGCGTTTTTAATAATACTGATCTTTTTCATAATGGCGCAGTCGGTGAGCTATTGACTTTGTTGCCGGGGCTCGTGGGTTCGATTCTCACACAGAACAAGTATTTCTGTGACCCACAGATAATTTTAAAAGATCTGGATGTTAGTTCCCAAAGAGAGTAGATGTTAGGAAGGCGACCCGTCGTAACAAAAACCTAACAACATGATTCTATTGTAATGCTGATCTCACATGGCTGGGTTAAGGGCAGGAGGAAAGAAATATAATTCCATTATTCTCATCTGTCAGCGCATACTAGCGCCATCTATGGCGTCACCGGGACAACACGGGACAATCGCGTGCGACGGTGGCGCATCCGAGCCGACGTCAGAGAGAAGAGAGGGTGCAACATTCATTCCAATTCGAAGCTTTGTGACAAAAATACAAATCGGAATCCGTTGTAATATACCTTTAAAATATAATATTCGAAATTTAAGTCGCTTGAGTTTCTTGACCTGTCTTCGAAATCTCAAACATCTACTACAGCCGAAGCCGTAACACATCCTACAATACAAATAAATAATTATATAAGCCTATTAAGATAAGAGCTAGACTTTTTTTTAGATAGGTCTGATCAGCTCATATTGAGGAAATATATGATTTAATGCCTCATCAGTTAAAAGCGGAAAAAAAATTGTGCTTCCGATTTATTAGACCTACGTATTTAATACACGATAAAGGTCACGCCATATTAAGAAAAGCAATAGAAGTTTTAATTAAAACAGAAGAACAAACGCGTTTCATACTTGTAGTATACAATTATAGATAGAATTCCAATAATTAACAATTTAAACAAAATTTATCCGTATCGTAAACTTCCGGAGGTGTCAGATGTTCCTAATCTCAAGATTAAAGCATAACATAATTACGTAAACATTAAAGCATACTGTTAAATAATAAATTTCGATTGTTTTTACTATTCCAAGAATCGCAGAAGCGATTATAAATTCTTTGAATCCATAGCGTAAGGATAATTGTTCAAGGAATGTATTTTTTTAGAGAACCGAATTTGCAATTCCTCTAGCCCTCCTAGTCTTTCCTTAGATAGCCTTCAAGAGCTTGTAGCAGAAATTCGCTACCTACGTCAAGATATGGCGAAAATGCAAAACGAATTCTCTGACCGTTTTAGTAAACTAACGGAAAAGATCCAAGATTACGACACTCGCTTTGATGAGCTTGTAAGGGAAAACATCAATTTAAAGGGATATGTACGTCAACTACAAGACCGCCTAAACAAGCACACCTGTGAATTTCTCCGCTCAGATTTAGAGATTCTAGGATTAACCGAAATTCCAAATGAGAATCCATACCATCTAGTACTTACCACTGCTATGAAAATCGGAGTAGAACTTGATGAAAGTGACCTAAGCTACGTATCTCGCACTGGACAAAAATTAAGTGATCCCGACCAGAGTGATCGATTACCACGCCGGCTGATAGTTTCCTTCACTCGAAGAACCAAACGGGAGGAGTTCCTTAAACAAGCTAAAGCTCGGCGAACACTTCAAAGCAAGGATATAGTGGGAAGTGGAATTGAAAGAAAACTCTTCGTAAATGAGCGCCTCACAAGTGATAGTCGCCGTTTATTTCGGACTTCTCGACTTTGGGCGAAAGATCATGGCTTCAAATACTGTTGGATCAGAAATGGAAATATCTTTGTCAGGAAGGGGGAAGGGCGTAATGGGAGCCCACCAATTCAAGTTCGGTCTCCTGAGGATTTGCAAAACTTACTTAATAAACAAGCTCCACAACATTGAATTAGTTGTAAGTTATCTCGGAAACGCTTCACATCCAAAACTGGCATTATCAAATTCTTATATATGTTTTACTTCGATGTTTTTCAAAATTCTTTACGTTTTTATTTATGTTTGGCAAAGTTTAATTCTCATCTACACTCAACACTTCTGCTCATCAAATATACCATTTTACATAAAAACACAAATTACACAGGGCGTAAAAACGGACAGCGTAATGACAGAAAAGCATATCTTGCTCCGTACCTTTAACATGAATTTTCTATATATTTATTCAATCTCAACTGAACATTCAATTTTCTTTTGGACACAAGGTCCTCAATACATCCTACTTAACTATTTCAATGGCAGCACGTGAATTAATAGATGTCATAGATTATGAAAGATATACCGCTTGCAATAACATTCTCATTCCTGAAAACTGTGCACCAGTAATCTTAAAATATACGCTAAAGGTTCTTCATGTTAATATACTGAGCATGAAATGTAACTTTGATAATTTTCTGATTATTTATACTAGATTAGATGTAGCCTTTGACATCATTATAATGAGTGAGTGCTGGTTGAATGAGAGTTCTATTGTTAATCAAATTGATGGCTATCACTCATACAATACACAAAAATATATCAACAAGTCTGGTGGAGTGGTAATATGTATATGTAAGCAATAAATGGGCAGCTAAAGTGGTAGAACCAGATATTGAGGAGGCAAATGCGCTTTTGATAGAAGTTCCCAATGCGTTCACTGTGATTGGCATATATAGGTCTCCTTCGTTTGCTAATTTAACTCCTTTTATCTCTTCTCTAGAAAGAACTCTGAACTCTATTAAGTCATGTCCGACCCTTATTATTGCCGGTGATATGAATATAAATATTCTAGATACATCATTAAATGATGAAAATACATCAACATATCTTAACCTTCTAGCTGGCCAAGGGTTTAATCCCTTCTGTCACTTCACCCACACATAATAAAACATGTATTGATCACATATTCGTTCCCTCAAATATTCAATCACAATCTATTATCTACCCCGCTGATTTAAATGATCATCATTTAATTATGGTAGGACTTATGAACCCGATTAAAACAAATACAAATATTAATAGGTTTAGATTTAAATTTGACTATGAAGGTATTAAATACGACTGCAAAAAAATAGACTGGTCTAATATTTAAAAAAATGATGATCTTGATGAAGAAGCGATTAAGTTCTCATCTACGCTGTCCACCCTAATATCGAAACACTCGAGATTAGTCACAGTTAGCCACTCCAAGTTCAATATCAAACCCTGGTTGTCTCCAGGCTTAATTCGATGTTCAAAACATAAATATAGGCTACATCTAGAAACAAAAAAACATCCATATGATGCGAATAAAAAACTTATTTAACCTAGATATCGCAATTTTTACATTTCCCTTTTAAGAAAATTAAAATGTGATTATGATCATCGAGAAATATTAATAAATAAAAATGTACCTAAAAAGCTATGGAAATCATTAAACAAAATTTCGAACGGGCACCCCTGCAACTCTCACAATGTAGTAAATGAACTTACGAAAATTAAAGACACTATAAGTGATTCCTTAGATGAATGTAATTCGTACTTCTGCTCTATTGGCCAAGTACTAGCCAACAAAAACTTACACCGCCTCAATGAAACCCACGAATCACTTGCCGCGAGGCTAGTTATTGGCAACTCACCAATCCATTCACTCTTCCTTAGCCCCACGAATGAACAGGAGGTTCTAGATCATATAAACCAACTAGACCCAGACAGCTCCCCAGGCATTGATAATATAAATAACAGAACACTTAAAGCAATCGGATCGACAATAGCGATGCCACTCGCAACTCTTTTCAACCACAGCTTAGAGTCGGGTATATTTCCAAGTATTTGGAAAACTGCAGGGGTAGAACCCATTTATAAAGCTGGCTGTAACAATGATCCGAGCAATTTTCGGCCTATTTCCCTACTGGCAACCATTTCCAAAATTTTGGAAAGAATCGTATGTAAAAGGTTGATATCCTATCTTGAATCAAACAATTTGATCTCCTCTCGAAAGTTTGGCTTCCGCAAGAATAAATCAACTGAAGATGCAGTCTGTCTTCTCACAGAGATAATTTCATCTCATTTAGATAGAGGTCGGGACTGTATCGGAGTCTTTCTTGATCTTACCAAAGCTTTCGATACAGTCTCTATTCCTATTCTTTTAAAAAAGCTGGAGGCATACTACGGTATAAGAGGCATTGCATTACAGTGGTTTTCTAGCTACCTAATAGACAGAAAACAGTGCGTTAAGATTAGTAATCAAATGAGTGGTGTAAAGTCAGTATGCTTTGGTGTACCACAAGGTATCATTCTTGGACCAACTTTATTTCTTTTATATGTGAATGATTTAATATCGCTTCCTATGCAGAATGTCGAAGTAATCTGTTATGCTGATGACACAGCACTTATTTTCCATGATCTGTCTTGGTCCAAAGTTTGTGGAAGAGCTGAAGAAGGTATTTCCTTAGTCTCAACATGGTTATGTAAAAATATCTTGACACTCAACATGGATAAGACAAAATTTATTTGCTTCCATAAAACCTTGTCCTCAGCTCCGATTAATCTGAGCGTCTTAAAAATACATACACCCCACTGTCCAGCCATTAATAGTAATTCCATCTGTAACTGCGCTTATATAAAAAGAGTCAACACCCAGAAGTACTTAGGAATAATACTTGATGAGAAGCTTACTTTTAAAACACATACCATCGATATTTCAAAAAAGGTAAGAAAATTAATGCCAATATTTAGAAGCCTTCGGGAGGGTGGTGACAATAAAATACTCAAGTTGGTATATTTTTCTTTATGCCAGTCAATCATTAATTACTGTATACTTGCTTGGGGTGGTGCTGCCAAATCAAATCTTGTTATACTAGAGAGGGCACAGAGAGGAGTCCTGAAGGTAGCCTTAAAAAACCCATTCAGTACCCAACAACAAATCTTTATAAGGATGCTCAGGTTCTCAGTGTCAGGAAACTTTATCTATTGAGGGTCACGTTGGCTCTGCATAAGAATGTACTTGAGTCACATGGTTATGAGAGCATGCTAATGAAAAGAACTTTTAAGATCCCTGTCCCCATGGTTACAACATCTTTTGCACAGCGTTTCAAGATATTTCTTTTCCCGCATATCTATAATAGAATGATAAAAACATTCAGATTTGAAACAAAGTCTGTTAGGGAAACAAAAAGGCTTCTCTCACATTCGCTCTTAAATTGGACATACGATGAATCGAAGGATGAATGATGAGGATGTAGTTAAAAGTCAGTAAAATGTAACAAGATTACTATTAATCAATAAATTTCGACCAAGACCAAAACAAAAAGCATGAACACACATATGTACACACACACACACACACACACACACACACACACACACACACACACACACACACACACACACACACACATGCATAATTAAAAAAAATTTTAGCATTCTGAACTTCTCTAGATAAACTATAAGTATGTGTTATTTCATACGCCTTCGTCCGCGCAATTAGGTATCGTAAAAAGGGTATAAGCTTTTGCTTCACGTAATAATCTATATATTACGAGTAATATTGTTAGCTGATTTATCATTAAAATATCTATTTGTGTGTAACATAATGACTCCGTGGCGCAGTTGCCAAAGTATGGGCTTTGGTGCTGGGAGTCGTGGGTTCGGTTCGGTCATGGATAATGTTTATCATACCGTAAATGAAATGTGAAAAAAATAATAATATGCCATTATAAATATATGTCTAAATTAATTACTGTCTTTAACAAGTACTTAAGCTAAATTTAGTTTTTAACTACACATTTGGCAGCAAGTACAAGATAGTTACATAATAATTTCAATTATATTTAACGACCTTCACAAAGCAGGTGTTTTGGTTAGTAAATCGAAGGAATGTTCTTACTTAAAGATGAACAATAGGCTGCGAACAATGACATGTTTAAGGCTTTATGGCGAAGCAAATTATAATGTTCTATTTAATTAAAAACTACAATGCATAGTTTATTTTTTATTTGATTTTCAAATTCAAATAAATATGTTTTTAAATGTGTCAATATATAATTTAGCAAACTATTTAAAATATCTTTCTGGAATGTATTCGCGTTGTGAATAGTTCAGTTCATCCTTATAATCTAGACGAATCTTATTCTCCTAATACTGTTTCGTTATACTTAAAACTTGTTCAAACGCTCCGCACATTCATTAAATAAGAAATAACAAAACTATAGCAAACATTAATACTATTAGATTGCAATTTTTTGTCACAGCAGACGAACGGTTGTTTATGAAAGTCAAAACTCTCTCGCAATCCACTTTGTAGTTCGTCATTCCTTCCCTGCTGTACATGATAAGTTTGCATTCAGCGTCTTTTGTGACGTATATCCTCCTATTTACTGTCGGATCAAACACAGTTGTCCCTCTCCAGTCTTTTATATTCTTTGGGTCGCTCACGGCTTTCATGTCGGTTTCGTATCTCGGGCTCGCCTCTTCGCTCCATAAGCTCATATCGACGCCATCTTCCTTCATTTTCCTGGCGTTGTAGTCGCGGATGTGGTTACGGAGGAAGGCCTGCGCAACGAAGCAGTACACAGTCACTGTGTCCACGAGCTCCAGGTCTTCGATCCTCAGCCAGCACTGGTTCGATCGGTCGTTGCGGTTCGGCAATTCAAAGGGCACCGGGAATATCGCGTAGGGCTTCGGCTCTGCGGCAGCGGTCGTGCCCCGTCGGATCATGATAGCGATCAATGCGATTTCGAGTGAAACGCCGAGTAACATTTTAAATGTGCAGCTACTGCAACATCATGATTGAAACTAAACGGCTCTCGTGACAGCTCCGTGTCATAACAACAGAGCTTGCCGAAGAGTCGCCTTGAAATCACAATTACAAGTGAAAATACATTATTTGTTTGTTGTGTACTCTCGGATTCGTTTGGTACCATTATGGAGAAATACTTAGCGTATCGCGGTAACACAAAAAACAATTAAGAAGAATTTAATTAACTTGGGCGTTCTTGGAAAACATAACATTGTTTTTTTTTGTATTTTATTTATGTTTTTTGTTTACTCAACGTAATTAACAAATCTACTTTGTAAAATTCTATGAATGAAACTTCATAAATTTTGTAGAATATAAAATGTCGGTCACCAATTTTTTTTATTTCTACTTAGTACCAGAAATATATTAGCTGATTATTGTATCGAAAACATACCACTTTAACCCTGAACAGTACCAAAAAATAAATAATTGATTATCATGTTTAAATTTTTTTATGTGACAATTATATTTTCGTGTTTTTACGCTATTTATAAAATATAGAAATGAACTGAGAAAATGACAGGTTTGTTAAGAGTTTATTTTTCGCTAAGTAAGCGGAAATATTCATTTACTGGCTAAGTAATTGGTGCTCCACCGTCATCATATTTAACTGGAAGTGGCGACTTATCAGTTGATTTTGAACTTAACAATCATTTATATTATTTGACAGATTTTTATAAGACACCCGTTTAAGTGTGTTTGGCCACAAGGTTAGGAGAGACAACGGCCTACTCCTACTTGTTAGCATACCCCTAATTTCCTACTAATTCCTAAACGTCGCGCAAGGGTTCGCACCTATGGTTATACTAAGAAACTACAAGCGGGTCCGCGAAACACTGGATGGTTAATTTCGTGATCAAAACTTTGGTCAGTGTATAGTAAAAAATAATATTAAAATAAAGTGTAAACATTAACATGAGGTATAACTATTAATATATCTTTACCCAACCCTAACCGATCTCAAACACAGACCCAAAAAACACAAAATTTGTGTTTGAGACACTCTTGACTACTAAATAGTCCAATTGTTTTGGCAAGAAAGTGTTTGTTCAGATATTTAAATACTATTTTACAAATGAGGAATGTTTCTCTTTTTCTTTTTTGCCCACATATTAAGTACCGCTTCCGTTCCGTCAGGTCCTTTCGTCATTAAACAGGCACGCGATACGTGCATTCATCTTATTGTACCCATCGTTGCACTTAGAATATTACGTAACAAAACGAAAAGAATCATACTTTGTCTTTTGAAGACCGTCGTTATGCGCGTCGCGACCTTTGATGCGAACCACTAAAACTTGTTTTATAAGATTTATTATATAATATTTTGGAGTAGTCGGTTTGGTGGCAGTACCTAAATATAAGAGCAACGCTGATTTATTTCAAATTCCTCGTTACTTAAAAATATGTTTGGAAGAACTTCTTAAAATAGCGTTGAAATTCTCTTCAATCTATTTTTCGTCCAAAAATATTTTGTGGATTTTTTTGATTCGGGTGACGTTTAGATCATCTAAGCGAGTAGTTCTGGTTCTACCGCTCTTACAGCACATACCACTTTTCAACAATGTTTAACAAGTAAATACATTTGGTATCTACAACTTATTTTTAGACCCAGGATACCATTACAATGTTTTTTTTTGTCTTTACTCCCAGAACACCCCAACAGCGGCCATCACTTCGCTATGGTTTTCAAAATTATAGTTCCTTGGTGTTCGATGGTGGTAGGCTGAGCCGAGGTAAGAGGTAGAAGTCACTGGGAGCTAGATTTAGCTTCAAGCACTTCGTATCCCGTTTCTTGAATTGCAGTCATGGTAACAGGAGCCTAGTGAACAGCTGCTTTGATGAAACAGACCTTCTTTCTTCCTTAATAGCCTCCTGTAATCTTCTTATTTGATTTGCGTATTAAGAGCCTCATATCTATTTGTGAAACGAGAGCAGTGGCTCACAAATATTTCAGCATCATAATCCTTTCAGTGTCAAAAACTGAAGCCATATTATCATCATAATATTCTCTGCTGAACTGGTCACTTTAAATTTCTTCCGTGTCAGTGAAAGTGAAGGTCGCCCAGGTCATCGATTGCCGTTTGTTTTTTGGTTTTTGGAAGATGGTGAATCCAGGTCTCGTCTAAAGTCATGAAAAGTGACAAAAGATTCTCCAGATCTGCCAGAAACTTTTCTAAATTCACTCTCGAAATGAGAGAAGAAACGAGTCGGTCCCTATTATTTTTGTTCATTTGTCGGTTCATTCTCGGCTCCTAACGCGCAGAGACGTTCTTTATATGTATTTCGCTGCTAAGGATTCATTAAACATCGTCATACGAAATCTTTGTTCAGCTGCATGTCTAATCATCACTCTTTGACCAATTACGACATTTTCTCTTTTCAAGTTGTTTTCAGGTCAGGACGTCGATGGACAAGCTTTTGGGCTGTTCATCTTCAATGGATGTTCAGTGAGGCAGGAAAATGTTTTTGGAATTTTGTGCGAATTCGAAGTAACTGATTATCATTACTTTAGGATTACCCCTCTAAGCTGGCTCTTGACTCCTGTTAACGAAAGATTGAAAATTTTTTTATGTAATAAAGTGGCAAACCAGCTGGCGTTCACTTGGTGTTTAGTGATAACCGCCGTCCACGGACATTTGCAACACTGGTTACAGATGTGTTGCCACCTTTTAATTATGTGGGCCCCGGCTAACAAGGGTGGAGGGGGCACGACACGATACAAGAGTTCCTCAGAGCATATCTAGAGGACGCAATAAGGTTGATTTACAAAACAGTTGATTAACGAGAATCAATACATTTACGAGAACACAAAAATCACGGAAGTAATCAATTCGCGGAATAATAACATTTTGCAAATAATAAATTTTCGTAACTCGCTCTTAAATACTAACAACAACAACACGACGTAAACGAACCAAAAGCGGCCCGGTACACGGGAGTATTATGTATCTTGAATAGGATGCGAGTCGGGGAATAATTAAGTTATCGGCAAACATATTTTATCGATTTCCGTAATCGATTAATGTGGTGGTCGAGTACAAAAAATTAAAAATAGAAAATCCTTCGATTGTATGATAATTAAATCAAAATTATAATTAATCCTTAAAGTAACAGCCTATACATGTCCCACTGCTGGGCAAAGGCCTCCTCTATACAGAGGGTATCGGGGCATAGTCCACCACGCGGCCCCACTGCGGATTGGCGGACTTCACATATCTTCGAAAAATATATATTTTTTTAATTATTTCGAAAATATGCAGGTTTCCTCACGATGTTTTCCTTCACCGCGGAGCACGTGATAAGTCAGCACTTAAAGTTAAAAACTTCATTGGTGCCGGGACCGGGGATCGAACTCAGATTGCTCGAGTATATTGAATTAAAGGCGAGCGCCCGGACACTGAGCTATCAAGGCTCTTCAATCCTTAACATATTATTTATATTTAATTAACATATTTAACCATCGGATAGGAAATAAAATATGTATTTAAAAAGAAAAACCTTAAATCATTGTTTCTTTGATAATTTATTAATGATAATTTTATTAATAAATTTAACTATGCTATGCTGAGGTAAGGAAATTAATAAGAATTATATAAAAGAAGAGCCGTGCTATCTCATTGTCCAGGCGCTCGCTTTAATTCAATATAATCAAGCAACCTGAGTTCGATCCCCGGTGCCGACACCAAAGAAATTGTGAACAATGAAACTTTAAGTGCTGTCTCATCATGTGCTTGGTGGTGAAGGAAAACATCAAGAGGAAACCTGCATTTCTTCAAAACACTAACAAAAAAAATATTTTCAAGAAATGTGAAATCCGCCAATACATAGTGGGGGGGCCAAGTCATGGACTATATCTATAATATGTAAAATACCCTCTGTAAAGAGTAGACCTTTTGCCCAGCATTGGGGCATATATAGCCCGTTTCTTTTTTACTTTTATATAAAAGCAATGTAAGAAAATATTTTATACGATGTAGGCTATTTTTTTATAAAAATTTGCACACCATAAATCGGCAGAAAACACAGTACAATGCAGAATGTCATTGTTAAAATTCTTAGTCTTATCACCCTACTGTATTCAGGCAAATAAATTATAAGAATTCAAATATCATTTTCAAAATTATGATGGAGTGTAAAGAATACGAGAAAAAAAGAACCATAACAAGCTAAATAAAACCGTTTAAAAATAAAACTAATTTTAATAAATGCGGACTAAATAAAATAAATTTTATATTGACGATGATATACCTACTTAGTTAATGCCTTTGATGAATTTGAATTGAATTTAAAATATATTAGAAGACATCTTGAAATTCATAATATGAAAGAGACAAGAGAAAAAAGGTTAACAAATTAAAGGACAATGTTTTTGTTCAAAACGTAGGTATATTATTTATTTCAAAAATATAGTGTAAAGTATTTAAACAAATCTTTGCCATTCTCTAACACTATGACTTTGACTTTGACTCCTACTGACCCACAGTAGGAGTCAACTCACTAATAATAATATAATAAAATATATGAATATCGTAATTATCATAAATTTTCGTAAATTTTCACAAGTCGAAGGCATTATGCCACACAATTGTAACAAATATAAGCAGTTGCTTAAATATCAAATAAACATCACAAAAATATTGAACAATAGTGATTTATCATACCAGATATAGACAGATAACAATTAACAATAACAGCCAAATCGATTGTTCATGGAAAATTATAGCGCCACTACTCATATGGTTGTTCACAAAGTATAAAACTTTATCACAATCCACTCTGTAGTTAGTCACTCCTTCTCTACTATACATAATGACTTCGCAAACCGCTTTCCTAGTCACATACAGTCTCATACGAGTTACGGGGTCCAATATTGTTGTAGTCTTCCAATGCTTGATGTTCTTATGACTGCTTTCCGGAACTTTTAACACGTCTCCTAGTGACTGAGGCTCCTCGCTCCAAAGGCTCACGTCGACGTCATCCTCCGTCATTTTCCTGGAGTTGTATTCGTGGATATGCTTGCGGACGAACTCTTGCGCTATATGGCAATACACGGCCACGGTCTCAATAAGTTCTTCATCTTCGATTCTGAGCCAGCACTGAGTAGCCCGATCATTGCGGCTGGGTAAATCGAACGGCACGGGGAACACGATATAGGGTTTCCTCTCTCTGTTGCTTTCCTCTATGCATACGGCGCTGGACACAATCACAGCCTTCAACAGCGCATAGAGCAACATTTTATATGTGCAGTTGCGGTGACATCATGGATGGAACTAAGCGGCAGCTGTGACGACCTTTAACCACTCCCGCAAAGACGAACAGGGTCAGACGACCTTGGCAATGGCAATTACAGATGGAAAATGATATGACGTCGAGATGTAACAGCTTATTGTTTAGGATACTGAGACGTATCGGTGATTAGCAAAATTTAGATACGCATAAAAATATTTCACTATGACCGCTACCTTAAAGGTGTTGCATATTTTCTTTCATCTGGTAAAAAACATAAGTAATTATTTACTTTAAAACGTATAATGTTTGAGAGGAAAGGAGTAAGAATTAAATATATAATCTCATGTGATATAGGAATAAACTTCATAAAAAGTATCAAGTCGGTGTAGAGGAGCGTCGGGTGACAATGATCGGGTAATCAAAGCGATGGTGTTTTTTTTCTTTTCCCGCCAAAAAGTTCGTTCGGGCGAGTTTATTGATAGTTTATAAATTTGTTTAACTGAGCAAATGGTTTGATGGTAATTTATTTTTCGCTCAAACTAAGGCTGACATTCGCCTCCATGTTGAGCGTAATATTAGTAGTATTTGTAATTAACGTTCCATATAAATATTTGTATGTAATAAAGGGCTTAACATTGTCAATACAACTGCTGACAAAGTCTGTTTTCTACTGGAATCCAGATTCCTTATATTAGTAACAGAAAGCCCGAAGTAACGAGTATTTTCTAATAGAATACCTATTTACATTTATTACGACTAGAGGAGCGGTATTTTTTGCAAAAATATTTCCGCAGACTAACTTTGAAACAAAGAGATATTACAATATACATGAAACAGCCCAATATACTGAAAAAAATATAGCGCCTAAAGGACAACATCTTTTGCTGTTGTTAAATCAGGGGAAATAGGTAGGTAACACTATTACAATATTTCAGGACCTTTTATTCTTTAAAATATTCCAACAACCTTGTAGTACATTAATGTTCTGTTCACGAACGATAAAAATAACTAAGTATTTTTGATAGTTACTTTTTTACTGCGTGGTTCGCAAATTGACAATCCAGACATCTTAAATATTTGTATAAAATGTATTTTTGTTTATTAATTGGTTACTTTATTTATATTGCAAATGATTTACTATAAAAGTTTTTTTTAATAAAAAACAAATCCTACATTTACCTCACTTTACATTTTCTGTATGATTTTGAAGAGTTACCTGGTGTAGCTCGGAATCCAAGGTTCCATATCAGTGAAATTAATATGGGACCGCACTCCCGCTCATCTGAGCCAGCTAAGAATCTAAAGCAAAAATAATTTTAATATCACTCCATAAATGACGAAATTCTGAGGTACTTAGGTAAAAATCATAAAATGGAACTACAACCGAATTGAGAACCTTCTGAATTCGGTTGATTAATAACTAAGATTTGCATGATTTCACTATGTTCAGCTTCAAGTTCATCGAAATCGACAACCAACTGTGGCGTTCACGTGGGCATGAGCATGAAATGGGCTCTCATTTTCCGAAATGTAGGATAATGAGAGCCAATGACTTTCTGGAAAGTCAATCTACATTTGATTTAAATATATGATTATTTGATACGTAAGTATTTTAATATGATACTTGAGATTTTTACCTATATAATTACCTACAATTTGTAATAATTGAAATTAATATTACGTTTATAAACAGTTTTACTTGGTAGGCTCCAACTCTCCCACGCTGTCCTAAGATACATATTACAAAGGTCAACTCGGTCGAGTTCGATTTATATATGGCAAATGAATTCCAACCGGAAATGTTACTACGGAGTGTAAAATGCTGAACCTTTTACTTAAAAAGAAATACTAATAAGTATTAAGTGTACTACTTAGTACAAAAACATGAGCCTTATCTGTAGATAAGGCTCAGCTTTTTGTTTATATCATTTGAAGTCTTATCAAAGCACATATTTGAATAAATCAATATTAAATTTTTTTTCGCAACCCTTGAAACATTATTAAATCTGTTAGACGGGCAAGAAATTCGGCCTGGTGTGAAGATAAAAATATCTCTTCCGTTGAAATAAAGAAAGACCGACAAACATCTAACAAAGCACATGCACACAAATGCGCTTCTTTCTCCAACAAAGAGTTTCAACTACTCAACAACCACTCGATTTCTTGACTGATTAAGGTCATACTCGAATAAAATTTTGTTTTTTTGAGAGTTGGGCAGATTCTGTGCTATGGATAGATCCAGGATACAGTGTCACTTGCCGGAAAACGCTGAGAATTATTTGGGCCATTTATAACGGATTATTTTATACAAAAATGATTCCTTCAAAACGATTGGAATAGGACCAAATTTCTGTTAAGTGTATGGTATTCGTCTAAATACAACACCTTTTTACCTTAAAATACCAGTCAGATAATAGCTACCGATCGAGCCGAGGTCCGGCCCTCACGGGCACCCTCGAATCGGAATGCTAAACGCGTGTTGAGTGACAGCCCAAGCCTAGGTCCCCTCTCGGGGACCCTTGAGCCTGGTCACTCCATGGAGCGCCCGCCAAAGCGCCCTAAGAGCTTATCCAGCCCAAAAAAAAAACCTTAAAATATTGTAAGCAGGAAAAATATCTCAGTGTTCTTTAATTGTGAATAGAATTTCGTTGCGTAAGATCACTTAATACAGAATTCTAATATAATAAAGTTATACTATTATCTACTTATTTAAAATTTATCACAGTTTTAGCTTTTTCCCACATTGTATAAATAATGAAATTTTGTACTTACCAGCATAGATGAATGTAACTCTTATATTAATTGAGAAATTAACAGAAAGTGGAATTTCTAATAATTAATTTTAATAATTAATAATTAATTAATTTATGTATGAACACAACAAAGTCTGGTTCTAGGCATATATTATTTTTTTTTATAAGATGGTGCAAACAAGTAACGAACGTCGTCAAAGATCTACAAAACACATGCTAACCCGTTAAAAATCTTTCAAGGAGTGGGTTCCGGTTATATGATTCATAAGACAAAATGCAAGTTCTTGTATTATATGTCGGGTTCCATGAATTTTATTTTACGCGTAGTAACTGCGTGGCTTCATCAAAAATTGTTCTATAAACCATGCGTTAACGGCCACACTTTCTGTTAATAGAACCATCATGATAATTTTGAATTGTTATAGGTTATTGCCAAATATATAATAATAAATATATAATCTTATACCACGTCTAGAAGAACTAGAGTTACCGACAAACCGACATAGCAGAGCGAGTCAGCAGGCTGAAGATTCAGTGGGCAGGGCACATAGCTCGAAGAACCGATGGCCGTTGGGGCAAAAAGGTTCTCGAGTGGAGACCACGTGACGGCAAGCGCAGCGTAGGAAGGCCTCCCACAAGGTGGACGGACGACCTAGCTAAGATCGCAGGGACGCGTTGGATGCAGGCCGCTAACGACCGGTCGAAGTGGATATCAATGGGGGAGGCCTATGTTCAGTAGTGGACGTCCTACGGCTGATATGATGACGATAATTGCCAAATAAACCCAATGAAATATATTATGATTACGTAACAGATCTGTTTCTTTAAAATACACGACACTCAGCGATGAAGTATGTCATTAACGTTCAGGAATGAGCCATAATATCTCATTATTTATTTCACCTTTAACCTACAGTTATCAGTTGTTGGAACTGAGCGAACATCCAAGTTGGTATTCCCGCATATTTGCCTGTTTAGTCGTCCGTGTCAGACAGCATAACAGTTAAACGCGAGTTTTACATTAGCTTGTTAAATGAATAGTCGTCATAATGAACAAAAAGATTATATTGTGCTTTTTAATAGTGTGTGTAGCAACAGAGTTTGTATGTTGTAAAGGATCTAGAAGTAGTGGAAGGTCGAGGTCCAGCGGCAGCCATTCATCAAGAGGGGGCAGCAGTTCAAGTTATAAGCCATCATCGAGTTGGAGCTCCGGTTCAAGTTGGAAGCCGTCTTCAAGTTCCAGACATAGCTACCCGTCTTCTTCATCGGGGTTATCTGGATCTTATAAGCCGAGCTATCCGTCGCCATCGTCAGGTCTCTCCGGTACCGGATCTATCTTCTCGTCCATATTCTCAGGTTCCGGATCGCTAAAACCAAGCTACCCATCCTCGTCTTCAGGATTGTCTGGATACGGATCGTCCAAACCCAGTTACCCTTCGTCTACAGGGCTATCTGGATCTGGGAGTAAGCCAAGCTATCCGACATCATCTTCTGGATTATCGGGTTTTGGGTCTAACAAGCCTTCTTCAAGCAGTTTCGATTCCAGTTGGAGAAACCCCGGCTATCCATCTTCATTGTCAGGACTTTCTGGAACCGGTTCTAGTAAACCTAGTTATCCACCTGCATCAACGGGACTCTCTGGTTTTGGATCGAGTAAACCTAGCTACCCATCTTCATCATCGGGACTTTCAGGATCTGGGTCAAGTAGACCCAGTTACCCGAACTTATCGGGTTTTGGTGCCGGAACGAAGCCTAGTTACCCGCCGTCTATGTCTGGATCAGGATCCCATAGCTATTCTGGATCAAATGTATTCTCAGGAAGTATAACACCGAAAGCACCTTCATATCCTGGTGTTCATTTTTATCCCACCTCAAGTGGTAACAATTATAAGAGACCTACATACGACACTTCATATCATCCCAGTAACACGTACAATACCCATAACAGTTATGGGTCAGGTTCGTATGGTCACGGATACATAGCCAATACACATACAACTTACGTTCTACCTCCTAACTATCATACACACCCTCAATATGTCTACGTCAATGAGTACAGGAATTCCGGGAGCCGATATGGGGATATTTTAACTGGCCTGGCTTTATACAACATGGGTCGATCGCACAGCCATTATCACGATCATTACTACTATGATGATTACTATAGAATTCGGCATAATTCATACAGTCAGTCTACGAATAGTTACACTCATAGCGCGCCACCTAAAGACACAGCTGTCTGTACATTAAGAGTTAAAGAAAGTGGGAAATTAGAAGTGTTAAAGATACCTTGTGAAATCGTGTCAACTTTTGTCGAGGATGGTAAACGTTCTAATTACACTCAGACACAAACAAATACCACTACCTGTATTACACAAGTAACAACAACCACCGATAATAACACTGTACTTGTAAATGACGTCACTACAAATTCTCCCACAATTTCTACAGAACAAGTTTCTATTAATGCCAAAAATACAACATTACCACCATATATTAATGAGACTACTACCATTCAACCAACAGTAATTCTACAGACCTTTAAAACACAAGTTTCAATAAATCCAGTGGAATCAGATAACATAACAGCGAATTCTACTAGCCCTCAAAATAATACACCAGTAAATGTCATGACTTCCCTCAATTCTTCGGTACAACATATTGCAAATGTTACCACAAAAGCATCTTTACCCGGCCTTGTACCAATACAAAACTCTTCTCAGCAAAGCGCCAATATTCTTCAAAATTTTACGACGAACGACGCAAACGACATGCACAAAAGTAAATTAGGTATGACTGGTAATGTGACCACAATGAATGTCACAACTTGCACTACCATTTCAAATACTATGGACCCTCTTCAAGTGAAGGGTCCACCAGTAAATGAGAAAAATATGGAATGTGCAGTTGAAATAGTTACTAAACAGTATCTGATAAGGAATGAAGTTGATTGCAATATTTTAATAAAATACGCTAAAATGCCACAGAAGTCACAGTCACAGCCCATAATAGCTGAGAGCCCTGTTTTGCCATCAAGAAATAAATTAAAATCCTGGCTTGACAATCCACCATGGTGGCTATCACTATTTATTGCTGTTTGATGTATTGATACAATAATGCTTTTAGTGTTGTAAACAGTTAAGCTTAAATATGGATGACATTTTTTTATGTTTGGGTATAATTGTACTGCAGTTTGTTGATCATGAAGATTTTAAGTTCACTGTATTCAAGATAGATCATAATAGATGGATCATAACTTATTTAAATTGTGAACACTATCCCAGATCTTATAATTTCTATTAATATTATATATAATAAGCGTGAAGCTAGGGAATTTGTGTATATTTTTAGTACCTATTTCTATTTAAAAAAATGAACTGATATTATGTAACTTTGTGGTAATGACTAATACATTATTTTTATGTATGTAATTCTTTAAATATGAACACATGTTTAATATATTTGAGTATATTATGTTATTGATAAGCATGTAAGGGTTACTCAAAAATATTGTTTTCATTTGTTATGTTATTTTTCTTCATTGTTAGTAAGTGGCATTAAAAATATAAAATAAGAAAATTTTATTATGAAAATCTTAAAGTAATGCCAAAGTTGTTTTATTCATGCAATGGTTTATTAATTTTATAGTTTATTATCGCTTTATGGTACTTACACATGATTTCTCCTTTTAGAAATGAACTCAAAAAAACATCTAGTGTATATTATTTTAGTATGATAGCAAATATTAAAAATTGATCGAGGCATCATCATCATTTCAGGTTGTTCAAGTCCACTGCTGATGATAGGCCTTCTCAACAGACTGCCATGAAGCATGATCCTGCCACCTGCGTTCATCTACTTTTTGCATACACAGGTTGTCATCCCATATTGTGGGGGTCCTACATCACTATGGTCAAAATGAGGCTGGCATGCAGCATGCACTTTCTTCCCTGAAGGCATTATTATGTTATTATATAGTGTTTCTTTTACAATTTTTTTTAAGTTCAATTATATGCATTTCGTTAAAAATTTCTCTACAAATAGCAGCTTCCGCATGTGTGCAATATGGACAGCTAAATTAGGCGAAGTACCGTGTCCGACAGAAGACTTGCATATAGTAGGATTACACTCTTGTACTTTACCATAGAAGTGTGATAACCAAAGTTGCATGTATTAACAACACAGCCCACTACAAATATGGATGTTTATATACACCAGTGACACTCCTATCATGCAATGTGAATCACAATTTGAATTTAAAACTTTCATTAATTGTCCAATGCATGCTGATAAAATATAGTAAAACAATAAAGATAAAGCATCCCTTTCATGAAATTTATTAAGATAATAGATATAGTTCAGTGATAATTAAGATATAGTTCATTGTATTAAAGATTTTACAGTATTCAAAACCATTTGAAATGTCAGGGGCTAAATTAAATTTAATCTGCAAAGAAAATAGGGTAAAATGCCTATGAAAAAAATACTTTTTTAGTTCTTTGTTGGAAAGTAATAACCAAACAATTCTTGCATATTCTTAAGCAATATTAAACACATATTTCTTGAAAAATTCCAATGACTACTAGAACTTTCTTATTAAAGAATTAAAACAGTAAGAATTAAAATGCAGGATATATAATGTAAAAAACATGAACAGCAAGTAATGGATGGATAGAATAAAAAAAATTATGGTAGGTATGCCAAAAATTGCCAATAATAATTTTTGTTCCGGAATAACATGGGTTAAAAGGAAATATAACCATTAAGTTGTCTCTTTCTAATGCTTCACAATGTAATAAAGTATTATATCTTTTGGGCCGAAATACGAAACAATACTGTTCTAAACGATTCCTAGTAGTTGACCTATAAAACTAAAAAAAATATTTCTCGAAAACTATGTTTCCGCAGAAAATCCTACGAGTATTTACTTCAATGACTTATTACGTATTAGTAGGTATATTAAAATTATAACTAAAATCATGCTACCGTATACTACAGTAAAGCCGAGAAACTTCTATAACCAATATTTAAAATGACGTTTTGCTTTTGACACTTCTACATTGAAATATCTGTATTAGGAAATTATGAGTATTGAATTTGATCTGGAATCTGGAGATGTGACGCAATATTTTTTACGTGCATTTCTGACGTTGTGCCGTCGAGCAAATATGATATCATTGGGAGTTTTAATTAGAATCATGATGAATAATTTAAACTACAACATGAAGCATTGTTTTTACCCTTTTTTTAAGTTACTTGTTTTAATAACATTGAAACTAAACAAAATTGATGTTACTTTAATGATAACTTGTGTTTCATGATAATTGAATTATCATTAGTGCAGCTCCTAGCGGAAATTAAGTAGTACTTTATATAAGTTTTGAAGGGAAACCAGAGAAAAGTAGTTCTTTATTTTTGTTTTGGTATTGATTGTTATTTTGTTTGCATTGCACTTTGTATTTATTAAATAATGTCAAATTGTCAATTGTCAGAATCGTCTCTGGTTAAGAATGTCACGTCACATAAAGATTTACAATTTTTGGCTATTTAGCAGGAAGATTAAATTGAAATAATAAATTAAAAAAAAAAATAATGCGATGAGTAGAAGTTATGTAATTTAAATACTTACGCTAAGTATTTATGTTATATTTTTTTTATTGCAAATTGAATTTGCCTGTATGTTTACTATAATAAGCGAGGATAAAGATAATAACAAATAATTTGTTTAGTTTTTGGATTAAGAGGAAATCAACAAAAATATTGAAACGTAATTCTAAATCTAATAACATTAATAATTTCGTCTATAGGTGTACATATTATTAACCTTAATTTTAAATGGCAATACAAATGTTTGCGTCACGCGCGTCATTGTAAAAACTGTGATTCACAAGCACACAACTTCCCAGCTGACTTCAGTTAATTGCGCATGAGTACTAATGAATAACGTGATTTGTGTTGTTGTATTGTGAAAGTAATTAATAAACAGGTGAAATGTTTCGACAATTTAAAATATTCTTTCTAACCCTCATAGTGCTAAGTGTATTAGAATCGGTAAGAGCAAGAAAATTCTCTGGTGGGAGACATAATTATCCAAAGTCAGGTGGCCTTTCTGGCAGCGGCGGCCATCACTACCCTAGTTCCGGAGGTTTATCAGGAAACAGCCATGGGTACCCGTCGTCCGGTGGAAGTCACGGATATCCTTCCTCAGGTGGGCTGTCAGGTACAGGTAGCCATGGATATCCTTCTTCAGGCGGTGGAAGTCATGCGTATCCTTCATCCGGGAACAGTCACGGGTACCCTGCATCTGGCGGGCTTTCAGGCTCCGGTAGCCATGGATATCCAGCAAACAAGGGACCTAGCACTGTCCACACTACAAACGTACACAACTATTACAACTACCATCCACCGCAAAAGATTTCATACACTCCTGTGCACGGAGGGCCGCCGATGTCCTACCCAGTATATCACGGCCAGCCGCCAACGTACGTGTATCAATACAAGAACTCCGACAGCAAATACGGCACGCTGCTAGCTGGCCTAGCGCTACTTAACCTTGGAACTCTTGCCGGCGGCCTCTACGCAAACAGACACTCTAGCTACAAACCTGCGCCTGGCGAAATATGCAAACTCGGTATTAGGAAGGAAAACGGCGACTACCAAGAGACCAAAATCGATTGTCAATTGATTACAAGTTTCATCTTCGAGGAGGAGGCCAAGGCGAAGAGTGGGGCTGCGAACTCCACTGTCATCACGACAACCGTGACCAATGTGACCGTGGTTAATACAACCAATTCGGCACCAGATGCTGCGCCCTCGCCACCAGTACCAGAACATTCTTACCCTCTTTATACAATGCTACCATTAGTGCCGGTCAACGGGACCACAACAAACGCAACGGCAGTGAACAGCACGGTCAGCGCGTCGGACAACAGTTCCACGGGCAACGTGATGACGTCATCCGTGACGTCTGTGACGACAACGAACACAACGGTGACGAACGCGCTGGATGTTAAAGGGAAACCGATTGATGTAACGCCTGACATGAAATGCTACGTTATTCGGAATTCCCCAACGTCGAACATGCGTAGAAGTATCCCCTGTGGCCTCTTACAGTCGTATGCAGATCAATCTATACGCAAGAATTCCGCCTCAACAAGTATACCGTCCATTACAGTTTTGTGTATTGCCTTCACCGCTATTGTATTTTATTAGTTGCATCATTGTATAGATATATATTTTTGAGATATACTTTATAATACCGTTCGACCAGTGGTAATTTGTAGCAATATTTTCAATCTATTTTTATTATTAAGTAGATACATTTATCAATTGAAACATCCAGGCAGCTCATTTTTATTTTCCTTGTTATCTTTTTCCTTGTATAGAAACTTTGCAAGGCGTCATACCAAACCTAAATTAAGACTATAATAGATGTTTTACTAAGAACTGTTATGTGAATCTTCCAATATATAATTATCATGAAAAAAAAAACTTCAGATCTGAGACCACCACTTTTCGGGTCGTGTATTTATGTGATATTTTGCAAAAGTATTGTTTTTTTTTTAATAAACTTTGTTAACAAACACGTTTGTTTTAATATTGCTTTAGAGTTTAATACTTTGTAGTTAATGAAGAAGGTAAAGCTAAAGATTTACGTCGGCGATAACAAGAAACGAAAATTGGCATAGATACACTTTACTCACAACAAAATAACTTGTATAATGACTAATAATGTGAGTGATTACTAAACTCGATTAATATATTCTCAAATGTTTCAATTTTTCGTGCCTGGAACCTGAACCTTTGGTGCCAGGAAATTTTAACATCAGATATTTAATGAAAAAATGTTCATAACGATCTATAAAGCAATCGTATAATATACTTTAATAGCTATTACCGCGGCTTGTTGTATAAAAATTTGATTGTTGTATAAAAAATGATAAATATTTAAAATCACTTGTAAGTAATTAATTACATTCATTTGAACTTAACTCAAACAGTGCGTGATTTATACGCAACTCATTTTACCCATGATCATTCATAACTAACACGCACACAAGTTCGTGCACAGTAAATTTAGGTATTTATGAATGACTACCGCATTGTCAACACGTTGTTTTTTAGGAAATACTATGGCATTTTTTTTGGAAAAAAAACTTTGATTTTATTTCAATAAACGATTATACTACCGAGTCTGAACCTCCTGTGTAAATTTGGGCACTTCTCAAAAAATCTCCCTGTATAATAAATACCCACGGTATGGTCTGTAAAATGGTAACGAAGTTTAAAACGTAAAATGACCTTCGAAGTAAGTCTAAACCAAATCTACAGTTCATATCGAATATATAGTTTTTTCTTTTCTAGATAAAACACGCTTGGCCAAACGCGCAGAGAACTTTTACAAATGAATTTTATATAAATAAAGATTTATATTCATAATAAAAATCTGTACTTGATTATTAATACTTGTCGAATCTGGTCTGACGATATGAGTATTATGAGTATTTCTTAAGTTACGCATAGTCATTTAAGACTAATTATGGCATAGGGGAACAATCTTGAAAAAAAAACAGTTAAAGTTAAAGTAATTTCCGTGCGCTAACGTCTTCCCGCCGCAAAGTGAAGCATATCTTCCTTTTACTAACTGACAACGGAACCCTAAACACTAAATGCTACACTTTCACAATGGGGTCCTTATTCGCCCAACTGTGGAAGGGCCACGCATTAGTTTTCTCTGTTGCTCGAATTAGCAGGTCCGTCCAAGAAAGTACCACGACCTCACAAAAGACCGGCGTGAAGGAGAAGGTTATACTTATGCGTTTCATCTGGTGAATGAGTTCTTCTGCGTTTCGTCTGGTGAGGAAGGTGTCCCAGCCCACTTTATTAAAAGGTGGCAACGCATCTGCAATCCTACCGGGTTGCAAATGTCCATGGGCGGAAGTTATCATTTTCCATCAGATGAGCCGCCGAATCGTTTGCCAGGTCACGTTTCTTCTTCTTCTGATCTGTGTTGAAAGTTACGCTTCATGTACCTACTGTTGTCGTTTGTATAATTAAACGATCCATCAAGAGGTCCCCTCTCTTCTTTCTATCTTTTAGTCCTAGAAACGGAGATGTGACTAAGTTTTCGTTAATACGCTATTATTTTTATTGCCATAGAGCTTCGCCTTTCAATTATTTTTCTTTCAGTTACATATATGAGCCTTGCTGCGTGTCAATTGATAAGACAAATAAAGTAAAAATCAAGCTAGTAATCTGACCAAATCAAACTAAATAAAACTTGTTAAAAAATATCACGTTATCATGTATAATGTCAGTTGAGTCATTATGAGGATGCACTGTAGCTTTAGTACTTATGTAAGGTCCATGTTATAAAGGCAATAGTCAGATTTGTCGTTTTGTTAGGTATAATCAAGCGTTTTTCATTTCCGTTGTAAGTGTCGGTAAATCGCTAAGTGTTTCATGTATTTTATTGATCAAATTGAACTGACCTTAAATTCCTGAGTTAGTTTGTTTATTAGCACAATACCAAATTTTAAAAGGATTTTAAATAAATATTATCACTTTTTGAATATTTTTTCATAATTTTAAAGCAGACACATAAACAAACATGACATGAAACTGATGTCCAGTTGGATATGGACCTCACCTTACCTTACCTTAATTACAGTACTGGAAAGAATTCAGGTGGCTCAGGTTCGTGCTTCGTGGCAGTCTGGGGCAGGCCTATGTTCAGCATTAATGATGACTCTAATAGCCCGTAATTCCTGATCAAGCAGGCCCATTTATGCAGCAATAGAACTGTTTACTACGTGGCTTTACCACCCAATCCTTTTATGTCAAAGGCAGATATTATTTTGTGTTAGATTATTGACATTTATTTTGTGGTTTATTGAAAGGTGTTCACCAAACCTACGATATACCAGTCATTCGCGTTCACCAATCCTGCGAATCACCAGTCATTTCGCAAGGCATGTAGCCTGCATATCAGTATTATATGATTGACTTTAACATAGACGTAAGTATATGTGTTGTTTTTATATCAGAATTTTTATCTCTATATATAGAGTTGGAAAACTAAAAAAAATTTTTACTACTTGTACTGTACACCATCACTTCTCAAAATTTAACAGAAGAACAAGTCCAGTATAAAAAAGGTGTATACCGAAAAAAATTATACCTGAATATACTCGTTCAGTTAGTGCCTTCATGTCAAATTAATTGTAGTATTATGATAGCGGTAGAGGTAAAGGTGTGTTTGAAGCTAATAATAAGCCATAATTTTTGTTTTAATTGAATCTATTATACGGATTTTATTTTTAATTTCGATTTCTGTCGTTTCGAGCATTTCACAGAGCCCATGTTCATGAGACAAAACAAATCAGTAAGTTTTATATCTATATGTATTATTCGCATTAAATATATAATCATCACAATATCTTTTTTTAAATATAAAACTCAAAGTCACAAACATTCAGTGAAACAACTCTGGATTCACCACAAGAAAACACAAGATAACGCTAATCAACGTCATTAGTCATCATGTTTGCTTAGATGGTTAAAATTTTATTGTTTAAAATTTTATTATTTATAGTTGATCAATATAACTTGAAATATTTTAGTAATTTGCGATATTGTCGTACTGAAACTTATTAACATTATAGCCTCAAGTCTTTTGTCACGGGAATGTGAAGCTATAATTCAAGAAGAAGATTAAATAGAAATGCTGGATATTATGGACATGGAAACGGCTTTAAAATTGTTTTTAATTTTGAAGTAAATAGATATTACCTATGAAAATAGAATGTTCATCCTTGCATACGTAGCATTTGCTATAATTATTTATTATAATGTTAAAGTTGTTTAAAATAACTTTAGCCTGTTAAACTATACATTGAAAATATAAATTAAGAATATGGTGAGATCGCATGCAACATGAACATAAAACTCGGTGAATACTTTAAAAACAAGCCATGTTTTTACTTTTTTGCGTCGCGTTCAATTGTGCTACAATTGTGTTGTTGAACTCAATGTTGCCCAAAGTTGCTACCACAAGGTGATTTTGAAAGCTTTCGTAATTATAATTGTAACTAAACTTAAAATAAATTACCACACATAAAAAACTATATACATTTCATTTTTTATCTAGAAATTTTCTAGTGCACTTCTAGTAAAGTGAATGTGTAACTCGTGTGCCGCATCCGTAGGATACATAATTTTTTACAAAAAAAAAAAACCGACTTCAAACAGGAAATTATAAAAACATTGTTAACATTTTAACGTTTGAGGATTGCCCTTGATTTCTAGGTTTCCTTATTACCCTAGGGATATCTTCTCGCCGACAAAAAAAGAATCATTAAAATCATTCATAAATAACGAAATTATCCGCGAAAAAAATATTCGGTCGTATTGTGAACCCCAGTTTTTTGAAGTCGGTTAAAAATATATATAGCGTGTCGTTACAACCGCGACAATAAATTAAATAAATTAACACACATATAGAAGATCACTTTTTAAAATTATATTCAAAATTTACATTCTTTAAACATTAATATTTACAGAGTTATTAAATTTTCCAAAACAAACAAATTTTAGAACACCATTACGTATAAAACTGTAATGTAAATTTCATTTGTAAAGGTCACAAAGCATATGAATGGGTTGAATTAATTAAAAAGAGATTAAGCATACTGTTAGAAGGAGAGATTTGTAATGCGACGCTGTGGCAACGAATGAAAAAGTCTCTGAATCTATGAATCAGTCAGTTGTAGTTGTATAGGATGTTACATGATGTTAAATTTTGATTCTTTTTTATTTAATTAGTTTGTTCGAAAAAATATTTTTTTTCAATTATGGATTGTTTTTAACGCTTGTATTTTTTTACGATTATTGGCAAGTAGCGTTAGTCGTGTGTTCATTTATTGTCGCGGCTGTAACGACACGCGTTATACGGTCAAATTGAGAAACCTCTTTCCTTTTTTGAAGTCGGTTAGAAAGAAATGCAAAATTTGTTTAATAAATCCAACAATACAATAATTATCGCGAAGGTTCGATTGCAGTTGCAATAAATGAGGAAAACAGTGACGCTTCGTGCGATGCTTGGGCCCGTGTTCAACATATTCGCTGTGTTCTATTTCGTGAAAAAAAGGCATTGACTAGTAGCAATGAGTCACAATACTTTACCCTAGGTGATAACTTCATAATAAATGAAGTAAAGTCATAAACACATTAAGTACGTGTTCAGTGATGTGTGTTTTCTTAACGTGGTGAAATATGTTTTTTTAGCTCCTGCTATCTTTTAATTATCACTTAAGATTGATACTGGCGACAAATTTTGTTACTAGCTTTGTAGTATTTTGCCCTGTTATAAAGACATTGCTTTTCAAATTTTCCTCTTTTTAATAATGGAAGGACTGTAGAAATATTGAATTCATTTGGGCATTTTTATTACGCTATTACTTTATATTACCCCAGAAAGACCGTGATATACAGTTAACTTAGGGATATATGGCCACGAAATTCACACGCCATGTCACGAACACGTCAATCCAGTTTACCGTTCCACCGTGTCATCGAACATAAGGTTACCCCCGGTAACCTTTCAAATAAGTGACTCCGGAATAGACCAAAGACATAATTAAAGAGTTAAAACCCTGATTAGCTCCAGAAAAAGATCTAATAAGCAATAAAGCACTTTTAAACAATCTCAGGCCCACTTATTTGCTTGCTGGCTAATATATTATGTAACATCTACTCTTCTTTGGCTTCTTCTTTACGGATGGTTACTCATCTACCACCCTTTGACTGTCTCCCGCATCCTCCTACACGCAAAAGGCCCGCTGCAAGTAGGATCGATGAGCTCACTTGGAGTGGCCCACTCGGGTCGGCCTTGCAAGTGTGGGACCGTGGGGGACAAGGGGACAAGGCTGGGTAATCGATGTGGGCCCTGAAATAAATTCAAGGATATACATTTTACGAGTCTATGCTAGGGTCCATTCCACCACCAAAACAGAAACTCTCATTCACTCTCTCACATATTCGATCAGCTGATTCTACGGGAAGACATCAACATGTCGTTTCGAACTCACATAAATAATATAGGGTGCTCTGTAGGCAATGATAATGTGGGATTTTTTGACGATCCAAGTATTGGCTTTCTTCGCTTTTGTTGTAGCTGTATATAGTGGATTACTGATTTCTTAGGTATGTTTTCAGTTTAATGTGAATCAAAGTAAATAAGTGTGACACTGATAACGGCTTTTGGTTTGCTTATTAAGAATCAGATCTACAGATTCGTTTGTAATATCCATAAAACACAAAGTCACTTTTTTGTTAATAAATAAGAAATTTTGGAGTACTTTAAGTCTTATATCTAATAATATAAATCTTGGTTGAGTCAGCACAAATTTTAAATTTTTTTTAACAGAAACAATTATAGTCTTTGATCTTTTACTTCACATTTTCACTAAGTTTAAAATAAGGATAAGGGAGATAAAGACAAATTTTAAAACATACTTGAAGATTTTTGGTACAACTTAGGGAATGCAGTTTATTATAATTTACACTTTGGTTACAGTATTGATAAATCTACTGTAGTATATTTCAAAATTTCTGTCATTAACCGTAAATTCTGCAGTAAATAAAATTTCAAAAATATGTTGGTACAATTTTATAACTAGCTGTTTCCCGCGGCTTCGCCCGCGTGTTAAAGGAAATTAACAATGAGTTTTTTATCCAATGACTTATTCATGGCGCATCCTATATTTATAATATTAGTATGAATATGAATTTTATATCAATATTCATATATTAAATTAATACTTACAACTATAAATTTATATCAATCAATAGATCCTTTACCTTTACGAAGTTAAAGTAGGGCCAACAGAATGTTTCTACTAGTATGGAGTGATTAAAATACGCGTCATTTTGGGTCTTCCCAGGGGATGTTTTATCGTGGTAAAAAGTAGCCTATGTCACTCTCCAGTCTCCGAACTTTCTCCACACACAAAAATCAAACCATACCATCGCTCTGTTGCTACGTGAAAGAAGGACAAACAAAAATACGCACTTTCGCATTTATAATATTAGTTTGGATTGGCAGTTCAACACTACACTTTTATACAACAATTGCTGCTGTTGTTGAATGCTAAGTTCCCGTTTAACTTGAACACTTTTTTGGAACAAGTTATACTCCTTTTGAGCTAGGTCTATAATTATCTTTATAATTATCTAGTTTAATTACTTTAAACATGATTGTGATGTAAGAACCTCTTAAAATATTAGCGGAAAGTTATTTTCTAAAATTGGGTGAACATTGATGTCGACTATTTTCTTCACACCTTATCAATTTAAGTTTTTATGTGTAGTCTCTACGTTGTGATTTTTCTTTACCTAGGTATTTACCATACCTTACTGGTATTAATTTCATGCTATTGTTTTTTTCTATTATAAAATATTCGTTTCCGCTCGTCCCAAAAATTTAAAAAATTAAGTGATTTTTAATACTGTTCATACTACAACAAATTATTATAATTTGCTTATAGCATATATTCAGGTAGTAAAGTACCACCTTCATAGTACTTCTTACAGAGGATTTATTCAGGGTTTCTGCTCAATGCTGAAAGATATTTCAGAGACACTTTAAACCCTAATTATGGTTTAAGTTTATTGTAAGATACTTTCGAATTTCGGAAATACTCCGTCACTGAGCCTCTAAATTGGCTACAATTAATTTTAAGCTTCCAAAAGTTATTTTTAACATTTTTAAATGACTAAAGGAAGGCCTTTTGTTGCCGTCCAAAAGGAGGTAAGTACTTAAATTACCGTTGAGAACGGTTTTTGACCCAAATTAATATATAAAATATTGGATAACTATAATAAAAATCTAAAATCTATAATAACACGCTCTATCTTATTCAAGCCCGAGCGAAGTAGCCATCTGCTAAATCTGTTATGATGCTAAATCTGTTCACTTTCTTTTTGTGTGAAATTTTTATGCGAGAATTTGGTGAATTCAAGAAGTCACGCCACCAGGTAGGGTTGCCAACCGTACATAACAGACAGAAATATTTTGAAAGTATGTTTTTTGCGATGGTGCAGATCAAGATAGCTCTTTATGTAAAACATTGCTTAAAATATCTCGCTGACGCGGACTTTCGTAGGGGTCTTGGCACCCATAACTATATAGATTTATTCATTTTATATATATCTTTAATTTGTTGAACGTATGTTGATAACATTCCTGGAGGTCCTATTTCGTTTTTCATATTTAATTGTCTAGTACTTTGTAAGATTTTTAGATTTATATTGTTTTATATATAAAAGTCAAGTGAGGCTACATATACGTTTAGCGAAGGAATGTATAATTCATTTTCTGTTCAAACCCTTTCTAAAATTGGTAAGCCGTCGCGGTGGCTGTAACGGCTTTGTGTGAACCAACATATGCAACAACCATCCACTGGCTCGTTAACGTTCATGCCTCGATTTTCATTTTTCTGGTTTAGGTTTTGCAAGCATCCACCTGCTGTTCCAGGGATAATTTCGGTGTGCTGGATGGCGGGCGCCGGCGTGGGATTACTCCCGCTGTTCGGTTGGCACGCGGCCGCGGGCTCTGCGCCGGGCTGCTACTTCGTGGAAGTCATGGACTACAATTACCTCCTGTTCCTGTACTTTGCGACGATCGTCACTCCGAGCGTGCTGCTGGCCGCTTTCTACGCGCATATCTACCGTGTTGTTGTCAAACAGGTACATAATTGTTTTGACCGTTACGTTTATGTCGTATTGAATGACGGCGTGACAAGGACAAATGAGGAAAGTGGAAAGGGACAAACATATTCTGTCGTACACGAAGCAGAGTATGTTTGTCCCCTTCGCACTTTGCATTCTTTAATATTTATCAATGGCGAGAGAGAAATAATGTTTCAAAATTTTCTTGATGTAATTTCGAATGTTGTACAAAAATGCGGAATTTTATTTTGTTTTTAGCAGCGATGTGGTCAATTTTGAGAACCTTTAAAGAATTTTGACTCTTGAGATAATATATTCTTCCATATTTAAAGTTAATTTTAGTGTCAATACTATGTCATAGTTAAAATTGTAATTTATTTGTATTTATTTATTGGAATTCTTCAGTGTTAAAATCAATACGCCATAAGTATATATTTGCTGTTCTTTGTAAGTGGTATAAATAAACATTGACTTGCTTGCGATAACCTGGTATCAATTTCTAATCTTTAGAAAAATAGGTCACAAAGACCGTCAAACGTTCACATATATCAAACGCTATGCCATCCATATAATGTCTCTTTTGTTGAGTTTCTAAATAAAATTAGGCTCTTCCATACGTTTAACATTAACCTTAGTTACTGTATCTATTTCTTTACTTAATTCAAATTTAGATACTTTCCCCATAAAAAAAAAAAAAAAGATTAATATTAAACTGACTAAAAATTCGGTAAAAAGTAATATATATATATACGCGCTCTTGTAATTATTATGTGGCGTGAACAAACTTTAGTATGATCCGTCAACAATTTAACCAAAAAAAATCATTTTCAGATGAGTGCGGTGGTGACAGTTGAAGGAAGCCATGGGCGGACCACCGGCGGCACGATGCTCCGAGTCCTGGGTGCCGCACAAAAGCGCGAGGTCAAAGCCACGCAGAACCTGGCCATCATCGTCTTCTTCTTCATTGTCTGTTGGATCCCGCTTTACACAATAAACGCAATAAAAGCCTTCATGCCGGAGCTAGACATTCCCAACCCGATCATGTACTTCTGCATCATATTCTCCCACCTTAATTCTGCGATAAATCCCCTACTGTACGCCTACCATCTTAAAGACTTCAGGGCCGCGTTAAAAGGCTTGATCTGCACCTTCCTCGGGAGGGACGTCCCGATGCCAGCCGCTTACAGGCCCCCAGTGCCAGTAAGGCGGCCGGCGTTGGAAAGGTGCAACGCTCTGCGGGAGCGGCCCAGGATTTACGTAGACTCCCCAGTGTGGATTCGCCAAAGAGGAGACGGAGGGGGCCGGCAATGACGAGTTGAGTAAATCAGTGACGTTGACCGCCCCCGTATTGCCCGATATGGAACCTTTCCTGGATAAGAATATCGCGGACAGTTCCAGCGGGCGCCATTCCCCAGAAGGCAGGGACAACAACTTATACCTGATAGACTCGAATCAAGAAAGGTGCCAAAGCCCTTATAGGAGGGTTGAGGAGTTCATACGACGAGTCCGCAGCGTTGGTTCGGAGCACAGCTGACGAGAACACAACCGGGACATCCCCGGTGTTTAGATTGTGAATTCAAAGCTTTAATTTATTTTCGAAAGAGCGTTTATCGTTTATATAACTATATATTTGAGAGTATGAATATTGCATGTTTTGAATGTTTACGTATCAATAAATTATTCCGAATATTTTTAGTAAATTTTGGAGCAGTACACGCTTCTTTAAATCGATGTTATGCAGGTAGATGTTGTGCTTGTGGATATGCAGACGATGGTCAATTATGGCTTTGAAGAGTATATGTTTAATTGGAAAAATGTGTTTTATTTTTGGTCTCTTTTAACATGATGATTTTAGATAGAGCTCTTTTCATTTTAATATGCCTTTACTACACATCTTTTTTATTAAATTTACATGTTTTTATTAAAAAGAAGACATTGTCAAGAAATGTAAGTAAAGTTGTAAAATCTAAATTTAAAGTGTAATATCGAAAAGAAAAGGGGTTTTTTATTTTAATAATTGTAATGTAGTGTTGGTGGGTGTTAGGCAATCATATTTGTATGCATTATGTATAAAATGTCATTTGCGTTAGGCTATTCACATATTTCGGAACAAATAAATGGTCTTTGATTATATACTTGTCAAGTATACAATCAAAGCGAACGGCTGTTTTGTTGCTATTGTTGGTATAAGTACCTATTTTTGGCTCAGCGAACCCAAAACAGTGTATGAAAAGCAGACTTCCGTTCTATTTTTGACTTACTTTAGCGTAACAATGAATTGGTCAATAAACACTTGCCTAATCTGCTAAAATGGTCACAAGTGTCCGTAGTATTATAATTCCTCTAAATGATTCTATCTTTCTAAGACCCAGGTCATTTTGGAAAAAAAAATCCTGTTATTGTGCGTCAAAGTCGAATAGAAGTCATACGTACTGTGTTAAATTAAGACTTTTTTTTTTGAAATACATGCTCCTCAGTATAATATCGATGAATTTATTACATTTTTCGCGTACTAGGAATATCAAAATACAACGTCACAAGAAATATATAAAGACTAATTAACTGAAACAAAGCATATTTGGCATTGGCACATTGTAATTGTGTTTAAGCCTCAATGCCATCAAAGTATTGCCATCTGTTGTAAATGCTAAGTAATTGTTATATATGTGATGTTTGCATTCTATTACTGAATTGGTTTGAAACAACGCCATCTACTTTATAATAGTAGATTAATTCAGTTATAATAAACTAGAGGTCACTACTCGCACATGGTAAACGAAGTTCGCCCTGTTGAAATATTTTAGCAACGCTTAATTCATAGATAAGACATATATACTGAAATTAATGGCTTAATTGTCGTTATTTAAGTTGTATGTTCGCCGTTTAATCTTGATTGTTTGTTTGTCCATCTTTTGCTTATTCATTGACAATTAAAAACTGTGGTAGGGCCACGCAGCAGTCTTCGCTGTTGCACGAATGGGCAGATCGGACCTGCAACTTACTTGATACTTGGGTAGGTCTCTCTCTCTACTCCTGGCAGGTCCGTCCGGGGAAGTATCACAACCTCACTGATGACCGGCATCGGGTGAGTAAGGTGGCTGAAGCCTCCTTTAAGTACATTTTTTTAACAGTGCTATCGATCTATTAAAATTTGCATTTATTTTACAATATAAAACAGGTTTTTAAGTATATTTTATTAATTTAATTTATGTGGGTTTGTGGCTGAAGACATCCATTGATGTGAAGATATTAGCCATGAGCGGAAGGATAGTTTATTGTTCTCTTCAAATTGATGTTTTTTTTCTTTTCATTCAATTTCTTTTGCTATAAATTTTAATGTTTCATTTTAAGTGCAGAGATTAGCACTATACATTTTTTACTTTAATTTTTTTCTTATATTTCTAGGGTAATCTATTCATGCATTCTAGGGTGGTAATTTTAGCGTATTGTTCCAAACCCTGAAAGTATTAAGCTTCATCATTTTATATAAAATAGCTGACTTTAATATTAAATTATCTTACTGTGATAAGACCACGCTGCAGCTTCCAGGTTCTGTTCACAAATGAGCAAGCTCCACGGCACCTTTGGGGGTAATAAAAGAGGAAAATTCATTTAATTGTTTATAAATAAACAAAAAAGCTGATAAACCTGGTTAGCATTTATGTATAGCATTATAAAAAATTATGTTCAAATGACGAACAGACCATTTGTGATACTTGAAATCGAAAAATCATTGAAGTTTCATTTATTACGTGTTGAACCATGTCACAGAACAAACAGAAGATATAAGATAAGATAGAATACTTTATGATTATTACAAACCATAGCTAAGGTAGCGTAATATACAGTTACTCGGTTTTCAGTGTTCTTATAGGTACATTAATTTCGATTTTATTTCGGTACAGCTTTGTACCTACTTTTCATTAGCATGGAAATGCCATTGTGAGTTTTTAACAACGATTTGCACCGTGTTTGCCAAGAACTTGAAGATATATGATTTTTTTTTATGTAAAAAGTTGTCAAGCAAGTAGGCGTTTGACGTGATTTAATATCACGTGAAACGCCTTTGTAATGATCCGCCATCAATTCTCCAAATCTGCCGCTAGTTTCGATGAAAACCAAGTCAGTTTATGCCTCAATTGAAATGACCGCCCATACCGTTCAGAAACCTCCAAATGTCAAATTTTTACTTATGACACACTGGGAGAATCACTCCACTTTTCCACGGTGCACCAACGGGCAGGCCCGTCCGGGTAAGTACCACGACCTCACAGAAGACCGGCGTAAAGTGGAAGTATAATACTTTCGCGTTTCGACTGGTGAGTGAGGTGGTCTGAGCCCAATTTTCAAAAGGTTGTCAATGCATCTGGAACCCTCGGGTGTATCAGATGTTCATGGGCGGCGGTATTCACTTAACATCACGTCTGCTCTCTTTGCAACTTTTCACATAAAAAATCTCGTTGTGGTCTATCGCTGCCCTAGATGCCCACACTCCGCTTTCATCTGAGAAGAGTTTGGAGCTATACTGTTCGTCCAGTTCACATGTTTTCTTGCGAAAGGTTGTCGGGCCGTCCGATGAGCCGGGGTTCATTTGGGGACAGTAGCCGACCTTTTTCAACTCAGATTAGCCACCTTTAGTCTTCTTCTGACTGCCTAACCGCTAACAGCTATTGCGAACAGCTCGAGTTTCTTGAGCTTATGTTTCCTGTTGAACGCCAAAAAAGGACCGATTTTTGAGCAAAGTATGATATTTTTCATGAAATGTACCTACTTATTTCTTTTCTTTAGTTATAATTGCAATAAAATAGGTATTTAGAAACGGATTCGGTTTCTGACAACGAGAGTGATTCTTTGTTTTGAAAGTTTATATGCCTGCTTTTATCTTAGGTAAAAAAATTTATACTAGCAGTAACGTCTTTAATTTTTGTAGTTCTATATGTTTTTGATCATAAAGCTGGTTTTCTGAGGTGTAAAATCAAAGTTTTACAAAAAGGATCTGCGAAATGGTTGTCAGAGTTTAAAGGTATCAAATTAATTAGGTCATAAGTATATACTTAGTTAGTTTTAATAAAGGGCTAAAGGCGTTGATTTTGATATGGAAAAGGAGAAATATTTTAATTTTTTATTTTATAGCCAACCTCAATATTCCGCGTACTTACCCCCATCAGCTGTATGAAATTAGTTTCTTTAATTATATATAAATATGTATAATATGTATTTATTTACAAAAGAAAAGTATGTTTAAGTATGTTTATCAGTTTTCTAGTCCCTATAGTACAAGCTTTGCTTAGTTTGGGACTAGAGAATGTTGTGTACAAAAGTGTTTATATTTATTTTAATTACCTATTATAAGTCCTTTAACAAAAAAGGAATTACAATTTGTGTATAAAAGTGGCACAATGAAAAATAAGTAGGTAAAGTGAAACACAAGTACACTGTTTTAAATGTTAATTTTATAAATAGTTGCTTAAGAATATTAAAATTGAAAGATGAATACGTCAACCTTTTAATATAGAGTATAATTGGCTAAACGACATAATTGACTGTTAATAATTTGCTAAATGACATAATTGCTTACAATTTACGTCGTTATTACATTAATCTGTTTCAATTAAAAGGTGAATATCATATTCGAACGATTTCAGAGCATTAAGGTTTATGTATTCCGATGTTTCATTTCTTTCAAAATGCTTTTCGCTATAAGAGACAAGGCAAAAAGATTGAAATATGTATTGAAAGAAAATTCTTTTCAGAATCTTCTTTGCCTTATTAACTTATGTCCGGCTTTGGGTGGATTTTCTTACTTTAGCGGGAAAGTAAAAGGTACGATTTGCGAGCCACTATTGAAATATTTTAGAAATCGCTGTAGGAATTACTCCTCCAAGAATTTTTTTTGCACGTTGATATTTTGTATCGAGATGATGGCAGATGAATTATCCTAAGACTAATGGCGGTATTAAAATATTTCTCAATTTTACGGTGGTAGGGCCACGCAGCAGCCTCGGCTGTTGCACGAATGGGCAGGCCCGTCCGGGTAAGTACCACGACCTCACAGAAGACCAAAGTGACAGTATGACATACATCGCGTTTCGTCTGGTGAGTGAGGTAGCCGGAAATTTTCAAAAGGTTGTCAACGCATCTGTAAAAATGTCCATGGGCGGCGGTATTTACTTAACATCAGGTAAACCGTCTGCTCGTTTGACAACTTTTCGCATAAAAAAAAAAATAATGGCGGCTTTTACACGATGAACAAAGACATCACCACATTTTTAGGGAAACCACGGTAGTAAAATGATTAGTATTCCTCATAGACCACTAATTAAAAAGAAGTTTGAGTAAGGTTTCAAAATTCTAGACGTAACGTCAATTATCAGGCTAGTTTCTTCATTTGTTATGACCTTAGTAAGGAATAGGTTATAAAGGATAATTAAAAGCATATTTTTACAATTTATTTAAAATAAGCCGTAATCGTGATGTTGAATCTTATTAACACTAAAGTATGTATTTTAGATAACTTTAGACAGCTATGCT